CGACCGTAAAACATCTCACGTATACCAAACCGAATGTTGCCCTTTTGACCAGCACAGGGGTGTGTGTGATGTGATGTCGACCAATAGCTTTCGGGGTCGATTCAATTATGAATCGGACGGCTAAAATCGCTGCAGAGGTCAGCCCAGGAATTCTTCTAGAAGCGATAATCGTCGAGTGTCAGCCATGAGTTCGGAATTCCGGAAACACGCCGGCTGAGAGAACCAACGAATGGAGGGAAAATGTGAAGCAGTAGGGTACGCGATTTTGCTTGCCTCATTTTAGATCCAAGAGATTTAAATCTTCATCTCAAGTAAGGCACACATTTGGATCGTACAATGTACAACTACTAAAACGTTGTGCATCATGTCATGCTCATACAAATAAGAATCAGAGGCCCTGATTGTAGTCAGGTGAATCCCATCGCCTGGAAGACATGTCTAGTTGTGCAGACGGGGACCTTTGGTGAAGGTTTGGCCGCCGAGCCAGAGGGGCAGGTCCGGGAGAGCGGCTCGGCCTGGGTGCAGATTGCTCCTGATAGCTCCCAGGACCAAAATGCTGCTGCTGATGTTGCTGCAACTGCTGCTGCTGAATCTGAGATGAATTGCTATTTCCTCCTGGGCCAACACCTGAGCCAACACCTGGGCCAGCACCTGCCCCAGCTCCTGAGCCAACACCTGGGGGAGGGTAAGCCCCAAATCTACCACCAGCACCACCAGCCCCACCACTGCTGCTGCCACCAGCGCCAGCGGCAATCCCTAGGTGACCATGCTCGGGTGATATACTGTGGGAGCGACGGTGGGCGTGGGGACGGCGGGGGGGCATGGAAGGGGGGGAGGGAGCAGAGAATATGGTGTTGGGGGAAGTGACGCCTTCAGGAGAGGGAGGGAGGGCAGCGCTGTAACCACTGCTGCCACCACCACTGCCACTGCTGATGTAACCACTACCTGCACCACCACCACCAGTGGCCCCTCCACCTGTACTCCCTGAGGCAGAAGACGATCCATTCCCGAAAGACACACTGTAGTTTCCGGAGCTACCACCACTGGAGCTTCGGGGGAGGCCCGGGCGAGGAGGAGTGGCCCGAGCCTGTGCCTGCTGGTGCGGGAGAAATCCACTCTCTGTCTCCAGCCCTCCTGCTCCCGCTCCTCCTCCTGCTGCTGCTGCTGCTGCAGTAGCTGATGCTGTTCCTCCTCCTGCTGCAGCCATGGCTGCCGCGGCTCTGATCGCCTCCTGACCCTTGGATATCTGCCGCATCAACGGCCCCATGCGGATGCCTGGGGGCGGCACCAGCACGGGGCCCAATGGCATCCCGCCACCTGTCGCCGTTCCTGTGGCTCCTCCACCACCCCCTGCTGCGTCAGCTGTTAGAGCAGGCGGGCCGGGAATAGCAGCAGCTAGGGCCGGGTTCATTGAATTCGCCCCCAGATCGACCATGGGCAAATTAGGGTTTGCACCAGCGCTGCCGGAACCAGCAGGAGAAGGAGCAGGAGGAGGAGGAGGCTTAGTCATGGGAGATGCATTTCTGCTGGACGCCTTACCAGTCGGGGGAATGTTGCTCGGTGAACTATGGGCCAGATTCGCGATTACACCAGGTGGATTAGGGTTACAAACAGGGTTACCAGTGCCGGGCAGAGAAACGTGAGTGGATATGAGCTGCTTCGGCTGTGACTGGGACCGTTGGAGAGGAGTTCGGCGCGTTGGGGGCCGGTCCAAAGAGGCTCCCCCGCCTGCTGCTCCCCCCATCCCCCCTCCCCCTAATCCTCCCCCTGATACTCCCGCCATCGCTCCTCCCCCTGGACCCCCTCCCCCAGGCCCGGGCGAAGTGAACCCTCCCCCTGTCCCCCCAGCAACAGCGTTTAGCGATGTGAGCGACTTAGGGTAACCACCTGAATGCATGGACGAACTAGGTGGCGTGAGTGGGGGGGGTGCATTGAACCCTCCCGGGCCCATGCCTGCCACCATACCTGCTGCCATGCCTGTTGCCGAACCTGAATCCTCTGCCGAACCGGCTGACGCGGATCGTGGTAACCCTATTCTGTAACGGTCCGAGGTGCGAAGCCTCTCTCCAGCAGCTGGTACACCAAAAGCCCCGTTATTAGCTACTCCATTAGCAGCTACCATTCCACCTGATACAGAACCACTCATATTCTCCGTACTGTACCCAGGCATACTATTTGCACTATTAGCAGCATCGTTATTACCGAAGCTGCTACCACCTAAGAGGCGGAAGAGCGGCGGGCACGGCGTGGGCAGCAGAAACGCGTGGTCTAGGAGCAGCATAGCACTCGGACGGTTCGCCGGGTCGCGTTCTAAGCACCGTCGCAACAAACTCCGACACTCTGGCGACACTTCCGCCGGGATATGTGGCACCTCGAACGTGCTCCCTATCATGTGCAACACCGCGTCTCGATCACACGCCCGCGCACCACCGCCGCCGCCCGCCGCGAAGCCCGCCGCTTCGAGCTGCTCGGTCCAGGGCGGCTCGCCGGTGATCATCTCGAGAACCGTACACGCAAACGACCAGATATCAGCGGCGCAGCCCTGCGCCTCCTGACGGACCACCTCCGGCGCCATCCAGCTGTACGCCCCCGCACCTTGGAACCGCGCCGGCGGCGGCTTCCGCGCGCCGGCGGCTTCCGCGGCGGAGCCGTCCGCGGCGGGGGCGGCGGCGGCGCGGATTGCGGAGCCGAAGCTGCAGAGCTTCGCCTCGCCTTTGTCCCCGTTCAGGAGCACGTTGGCGGCCCGGATGTCGCAGTGGACGATTCCGCGCGCGTGCAGATCGCGCAGCCCCTCGCAGATCCCCCGCGCGTATCTCCGCACCAGGGCCTCCGGTAATCTCCCGCCGAACGAGGACATTAAGTCCGCAATGCTGCCGCCCGAAACGTACTCCATAAATAGGTTTCTAACCCTAGCTCCTGGAACGGCAGCGTCGTCTTCCCAGTCCGCGCCCAATAGCCGCACGACACGTGGCGAGCCACGAAGCTCCTCGAGGATCGCCTGCTCGTTGTCGAGCTGTCGCATGTCGCGCGGGAGAGCGCGCGACGAGACGGATTTCGCGACGAAGATTTGACCGGATTCGGCGTGAAGGGCGAGGTGAGTTTTGCTGCGCGGATCGCCGCCAAGCTGATGTCCGCGAATCCATTGCGGCGGGTCGCACGGCGGCCCCTGCGACAGGCCATGCGACGATCCGTGCGACGACCCGTACGACGATCCGTGCGGCGATCCTTGCGACGATCCGTGCGACCTGTTCGACATCGCGGACGACGGTCGCGACATCGGGCCTGCGGACGATCCAGGTCGGGATGGAAGATTGTACTCGAGCTGGTGAAACCCGTTATTAGGCCCGTACGCGCCTCCATTAACGAGGATGTTAGGCTTGGCGCCAGAGTGGACCCCAGGGTTGAGCTGTTGCTGAATTGAAGAGTTAAAAGGCTGGTTAGAAAAATAATTATTACTAATCTGGCTACTATCGACGCGCAGAGGATCTAGGCTGGCGGACCGCAGCAGGTTACGCCGGCCCTCGGCGAAACCATCAGACTGCATCGCGTGTGCTGTTGGATGCGCGGCAGCGACTAGCACTTGCCTAGGATCACGCAAATGCAGTAACCCTATAATCAGTACATCAAGAGCTAGTCGTTCGTGCTAGAGCCCTGCTTGCGTTCACGGGACAAAAAGCCAGCAGCAGAAGTTCAGTACAGTATATAGTACGGGGCAGTATTCAGTAACTGGGAGTGAGCGAGTGACTGACTGATGAGCTGGGAGGAGTGAGAGGAGGAGACCACAAGGCCGTACGGAACGATAATAAATACGTGGTGGAAAGCGATGCAGAGCGAAGGGCGATGGCAGATGTACGTGTACACACCTCAGGCTGGGAGGAGACGAGGTTCGGGAAAAGAACAGAGGGAGGGACTGCCGTGCCGAGCCCTGCTGCTGTGCCGAGCCGTGCCCTGAAGTGAACGAACGAACTGTGCACTCGCAGGCCACATCAGCTCACCTGCCCTGCCTGTCCTCATTCACCACGTCCGGGGCGGCAGCATCAGGGGGGAGGGAAGGGAACACCATGGCCACCAGTTTTCAATCCAGAAGCGACACACTACGGGTCAATATGACATGTACAGTACGAGGATGTTTTTCACTGCCCAAAGAGCCAGATTTGCCTGGAGGCTTGGCGGTGGCGAGGAGGCGAGATGAGCCGGGCAGGCCCCAAGCTCGCCTACAGTAGGAGCCTCCATCGATAGACCAAAACCGGCCACTGGGCATTACTGTCCGTCCATTCAAAACCTCGTTACACTCATACTCCCAACTTAGTTGGAATGGAACGAAATAACATGTAATATAAGTTTCCACTGTTCTCTTGTCCCTCAAATAAGAGAGTGAGGCAATAAACAGCGCAGAATACACACGGTATTCATCTAGAGAACATCCATGTATGTAGCAAATTACATCCAAATTAGTGTATAATTCTGTCATTTATTATTGCCACTATTCCCATTCGACAGTAGCTGGCGGCTTGGATGTGATGTCATACACTACCCTGTTTACACCACTCACACTGTTGCAGATGCGAGCCGATACCTCACGGAGAAACTTGGTATCAAATTCAAACCTGTGAAGTGGGTGAGAAAGGAAGACGACGAGAGCGAGAGTGGGAAGATGGGTGAGGGAGGAAGAGAGTGAAAAGGGAGGGTGGTAAATTGTGTGGGGACGGAAATACACCTGCAAGTCCAAGCACCCCATCCCACCTCACCCCACCCCATTCCATCACACCCCCACCAACCACAGCCACAAGTCCAAGCATCCCATCCCAGCCCATCCCACCCCATCCCATCCCATCCTCACCACACTCCACTCACCAATCAGCTGTCATGCCATGTTGGCTGGTGATCGCCAGTGCGCCTGTTGCCCTGCACTCCCACGGCCCGTCCCTATGAGTCACCAACTTACTTCTAGGCATCCCCACCCTACCCCACCCTACCCCACCCTACCCACCCCACTCCACTCACCAGTCTGCTGTCATGCCGTCTTGGCTGGTGATGGCCCTCAAAGCCACCACATGGGAGTGGGTGCGCCGGTCCCCCTGCACTCCCACCGACCGCACCGGCAAGAAGACGGCAAACGCCTGCCAGATCTGATCGTACAGGCCGGCCTCCTTGATTGCATTAATGAAGATCTCATCCACCTGATGCCCAGATGGACCACAGCCAAGGGGACAGGACCAAGGGAACAGAGAAAAGAGAGGGGAACAGGGAAAAGAGAGGGGAACAGGGAAAAGAGAGGGGAACAGGGAAAAGAGAGGGGAACAGGGAAAAGAGAGGGGAACAGGGAAAAGAGAGGGGAACAGGGAAAAGAGAGGGGAACAGCAAGAGGGGGATACGCTCAATTATTGTCAGATCTGGTCGTACAGCCCGGCCTCCTTGATACCGTTTGATGAACATCTCATCCACCTGAAGGGGAAAAGGACCAGGGGGACATCGAGAGGAGGAGGAAAGATGGGGGGGGGACACTCAGCGCCTCACATATCTAATCGTACATGCCCGCCTCCTTGATGGCATTGATGAAAATCTCGCCCACTTGATGGGGGAAGGGCAAGCGGGACGAGGGGACCAGACGGAGAGATAGAGATGAATGAGGCAGTGGAAGAACAGGTTAAGGGGGGCACTGAGTGCGTCCATTTCGAAAAACACTGAGTCGCATGGGCAGAGAGTCACTTTGGCAGCTGCACTGCCAGGAGTGACTCTCCGACAACTTTGCTGACCATCTCGTCCGGCTTGTGGTTCAAGTGCCTTTTGAGGCGCCTCAAAAACCCTTTGGCAGCAGCACTGCCGGAAAAGACCCTTTGAGCTCTTTGCGGACCATCTCTTCTGGCTTGTGGATCGGATGCGTAATGGAGCCTTCGAAGCTTACTTGCACGAAGGTTTTCGGAGCATGCTGAAGCAGATGAATGGGGTGGACTTTCGAGCCCTCGCACGAGTTATCGACTGGTTCCCAGGTGTGATAAGCGGGGGTGGACGAACACACACGTCCCCAGCACCCGAACTGCAAGGTTGGACGCACCTGAGCAGCGGTGCTAAATAATGCTATGTGTTTATCATCTGCAATAACAGCTGAGCAGCTCTTACCTGGCGGATGGTGTCGAGTGCCCCGTCCGCACACAAATCCCCCAGCGCCCGGACCACAAGGCCAGGCCCCACCTGAGAACAGATGCTACTTGTGATGCTGATGCTGTGTGTTCATGACCCGCATTACAGCTCAAAAGCATTTCAGTTCAGCACCCACCTGGCGGATGGTGTCCAGTGCCCCGTCCGCACACACGTCCCCCAGCACCCGAACCGCAAGGCCAGGTCCGGGGAAGGGGTGGCGGGAGAGGAAGGAGGCGGGGACGTTGAGGAGAGCTCCAATCTTGCGCACCTGGGAGGGGGCGAAGGGGAAGAGGAGGGAAGACGAGGGAAGAGGAGGGAAGAGGTGGAAGCAGGAGATGGGTGAGTGAGGGAGGAAAGGGGAAGGTGAGAGCAGGTGACGGTTACTGAAGTAGAAAAAGCTTAACCTACCCCCAGTTATTCCACTTATTGACACTTAATCCGGCTCATTCCACTCCCCTCCCTGTCTCCCTGCCGTTGCTCCCCATCCGCATCACACTTTCCTCTCAGCATACTCCTCTTCCCTCCCCAAATCTCCCTCCTCCCCCCCCCAAAAAAACACCCCACACCCCTCCGCCACCACCCGCTCCACTCCTTCCCTCCCGGACCCCCTTTTTGCTCTCCTCCTCCCCTTCACCTCGTCCTGGAACGGCCATTTGAGGGGCTCCACGAGGGTAAACGACATATTCTCAAATGAACCAACCCACCCACCTCTCCTATTTTTCCCTGCGCCCTCCCTCACCTCATCCTTGAACAGCCACTTGAGGGGCTCCACGAGGGTAAAGCGCATATTCTCGGGTAAACCACCCACGTTGTGGTGGCTCTTGATGGTGTGCGAGTGCTTCTTCCCACTGCCAGGCGGCGGGCACGACTCAATTACGTCCGGATACAGTGTACCTGGAAACAGGTTTGGGAGGAGGAGGAGAAGGGGGGGGGGGAGAGAGGGTGAAGGGGTGAGAGGAGGGAATTTGCACACGTCCGGATACAATGTACCTGGAAACAGGTTGTGTTGACAGCTCAATCACGACCAGGCACAGAGAGCTTGAGAAAATGTTGGGAGGGTGGACCTTGCACCGGGGCCTCTTCCCCGGGGCCTCTTCCCCGGGGCCTCTTCCCCGGGGACTCTTCCCCGGTGCCCCTTCCCCGGGGCCTCTTCCCCGGTGCCTCTTCCCCGGGGCCTCTTCCCCGGGGACTCTTCCCCGGTGCCTCTTCCCCGGTGCCCAGCTTGAACCCAGCGCCTCTTCCCTCTTTCCCTCGATCCCCCTCGCTTCAATTCACCTCTTACGGTCACAAGCCCACACAACCCATTCTGCACCTTGCACCGGGGACTCTGGTAGGTGCCCCAGCTTCGCCTCCAGTTCACTCGCAAAATCATCAAACACGCCAATGAACTCCGCCCCGATGATGCGCCTCTACCTCTCGGGGTCCGTGACGCCCCTGAGCTTGGAGAGGAAGCGATCAGACGCGTCCACACAGGTGACTGGCAGATGCGCCTCTACCTCTCGGGGTCCGTCACACTTGAGCTTGGAGAGGAGAGGAAGCGATTTTCTCCCCTCTTTCTCACTCCCTCTTGCTTCAACCCAAGCCGCAGAGCAACAACCAAAGCCGCACAGCAACAACCAACCACTTGCCCTGCAACAACCAACCACTTGCCCTGCAACAACCAACCACTTGCCCTGCAACAACCAACCACTTGCCCTGCAACAACCAACCACTTGCCCTGCAACAACCAACCACTTGCCCTGCAACAACCAACCATTTGCCTTGCAACAACCAACTACTTGCCCTGCATCAACCAACCACTTGCCCTGCAACAAATTGCATCTTCCCGCGGCAGCAACTAACCCACCTTGCACCAGGCACTCGGGTCGGTGGCCCAATTTCGCCTCCAGTTCACTCGCAAAATCATCAAACACGCCAATGAACTCCGCCCCGATGATGCGCCTCTTCCTCTCGGGGTCCGTGACGCCCCTGAGCTTGGAGAGGAAGCGATCAGACGCGTCCACACAGGTGACTGGCAGATGCAGGTCTGCCTCAAACATTGCCATCACCCGCTGCTGCTCCTGGAACCTGGGGGGAGAAAGAGTATGTGTGGGGGAGGGTGGGCGGGAGGGTGTGGGTGAGGGAGAAGTGTTGAAAAAATAGGGGTTCGGGTTAGGCCTGTGTCTTCTCCCCCGCAACACTACAGAACCTCACTAAACCCCTCACTAAACCCAGCTAAATCCCTCCTAAACCCCTCGCCATACAACACTCACTGCAGTTGTCCGTTTTCCACAAAAATACAGCGCAGGTGGTCACCAATCGCGCGGTGAACCAGCGTGGCCTCTACAGTCGAGTCACTGCCCCTTTCTTTCACTACATCACCACTTCAAAACCACATAGAACCGCACTAAACCCTACAGAAACTCACCGCAGCAGCCCATTGTCGACAAAAATGCAGTGCAGGCGGTCCCCAATCGCCCTGTGCACCAGCGTGGCCGCTACAGTCGAGTCAACGCCGCCCGACAGGGCACACACCGCATGCTTCACCGGCCCCACTGCCGCTTGGACGGCTGAGATCGCCTCATCCAGAACCTCCTGCATCTGCCAATCAGCGTGCGCGCCCCCGATGTCAAAGACCACACGGTGAAGGGTCTCCATGCCCCTGGGGGTGTGGGTCACCTGCGTGTGTGGGAGAGAGGGATGAAGGAGTCAGAGTGCGTGACCCCTGAGAAGCGGTACTGCGATTTCCCCTAAAGCTGAAATGAATGTGTGCGTGCGTACCCTCGTGGTCTCTCCCTTTAGGAACTCGCGCACCTCTCTCCTCTCTCCTCTCTCCTCTCTCCTCTCTCCTCTCTCCTCTCTCCTCTCTCCTCTCTCCTCTCTCCTCTCTCCTCTCTCCTCTCTCCTCTCTCCTCTCTCCTCTCTCCTCTCTCCTCTCTCCTCTCTCCTCTCTCCTCTCTCCTCTCTCCTCTCTCCTCTCTCCTCTCTCCTCTCTCCTCTCTCCTCTCTCCTCTCTCCTCTCTCCTCTCTCCTCTCTCCTCTCTCCTCTCTCCTCTCTCCTCTCCCCTCTCCCCTCGCCCCTCGCCCCTCGCCCCTCGCCCCTCGCCCCTCGCCCCTCGCCCCTCGCCCCTCTCCCGTCACGCACCTCAGGGTGGTATTGCAGGCCGAATATCTTGCGTGTCGTGCACTCAATCGCCACCACCGTGCCCTGATCGCTGCGCGCCACCACTTTGAACCCCTCTGGAAGCTTCGTCGCCTCGTCTCCATGGCTCATCCACACCGTCTGTTGAGGACAGGGGTTTATGATGAGTCAGGACTTTAAAACGAGACAGGTGATTATAACGGGGTCGGTTTTTTAAACGAGACAGGTGGTTATAGCGGGACCAAGTGCTTGCAGCGGGGACAAGAAAAACGTTAGTAATATTCCACGATGGCTTCGTCAACTCGTCGCGGTGGCTCATCCTCAGGGTTTGTCGGGGACAGGGTTTTTGTTACGAGGCAGGTCACTGTAACCAGGACGATATGTGAAGTTCGAAAACCCCTTGAGAAGCTTGTTAACAAACAGAACTGGCACAATGGCATCTGTGATGGTAACCGATCACCTGTCGCACATAGTGGTGGTAACCCGTTACCTGTCGCGATTCATTCTTCGCCTTCTTCTTCTCAGGTTCCTCGCCTCCCGCGTCGCTCCCGCCAAAGAGCGCCGAATCACAATCCGCCACGATATCCATCCGTCCGTACTCCTGCGCCTCGGCTCGTGCCACGTCACCACCCAACGTCTTCACGATCAGCTGCATGCCGTAGCAGATCCCAAGAACCGTAATACCCTTCTCTATCGCGTAGTCGAAAAAACCCGCGGGAACCGTCGGCGAACCTTCCTCGTGTACGGAGTTCGGCCCACCGGAGAGAACGATGATCGTCGGATGGACGGCCTGGATCTGATCTAGCGGCACGCCGGCCGGCAGGCTGACGGAGTAGACTCCGAGCTCGCGAATGCGGCGCGTGATTAGCTGAGTGTACTGCGATCCGAAATCGAGCACGAGCACGACGGATCGTTTTGACGACGTTAAAACGGACGGCGGAACCCCCTGAAGGGTTTCTGAAGGGGTTACTGGATTTTCAGCAACGGCATTCGATGCGGTTTCATGGCCATTTTCTGCAGCTGTCGCCATGATTAAATCTAATCTCTTTCGCGATCCTGTGCTGGGGTGATCACTCCACCTTTTACCGATCGGAAAATGTCGCCTGGCGGCAAAGTCGTTAGCAAGGGACCTAGCCCCGAATTGAGGCGACGAATGGCTTCTGACAGCCTTGAGAATGGAGGTGGAGGAAGAACCAAGCAAGCAGAAAAGAGAAGCAGACGAAAGGGACATGAGAAGCAAAATCTAGGTGATAGAAGGCAAGGCAGGAGGATTGTAATCGAGGGAGGCTGTGAAAGTTGGAAGTTGAAACGAGATGCTTGACACGCCGCGGCGGGGTTCGCAAACTTGACCGTTTCAACTTGTTGGACAGAATATGTTCGACGCGCAGTCGAAATGACAGTTTCCAGGGCTGCCCGTCGGACGAGCCTTGAAAAATTCTCGCAGTTCCTAGAGTAACCTCCAGAGGTTTCCCCATGAAGCACCTACATATTCAGCAGTGAGCGACAGTTTTAACGAATCAATAAAATAGTATAGGTGGGATATACAAAATAAACAAAAACACAAGCACTGTGCAGGTTTCACAAGCTATATTACACGTTTCCCAAAAAGGAACACTCCTTTCTCTTCACTCCGTGTATTCTCTGTTTCATTTCCTTCAGCATCATGTATGGTGCGGTTATGTACAGATGCGTTTATGCCATGAGTCGCGTGTTCATGGCGGCCTATTGAGTGGACCCGCGTCACCTGTACACCTCCCGTAAGTCTGCTGTCGTCATCCATATTTCCATCCCTCTCCATATCCACAGTCGGGGAAGACAACTGTATGATCGGCTCTTGTTGTACCACCGTAACTTGAGGCACTAGTGCTTGTGTTTCATGATGACGAAACCCCGGATATGCAATCCGCTGCTGCAGTTTTTTAACGTCACTCCCTTGCTGTAGATTGTCCTCGAGATGCCTCGCAATCAGATCTTGTGCCCATGCACTCCGTGCCACAATCATACCACCCCTCGCATGGACACCCCCTGCCGTACCTGTCAGCAGTGCCGCCGGTCCAGCCATAGGTCCGGCCGAACCCCTCTCCTCCCCTACCAACCCGCCTGTGGAAATCGCCGAACCTGCTGCCGGACCTGCAGCATGCAGTGTGTCCGGTCTCTCAGGCACATGCGTATTCAACGACGAAAACCCTCTGGTGGTTCGCATAAGCGCTGCCGAAAAAGCCGCTGCCGATGCCGATGCTGCTGCCTCTTTGTCTGCCTGCTTCGGCTGGTAAGACCCCTCTGTAGCTTGCAGCTGCTGCCGAGCACTCCCAGCGCCCCAGCTGCTGCCGCTTCCGCCGGCCGGATCGAGCCCTTGTGCAAGCAGCAGGGAACGCTGCCAGAGATGTTGTTGCTCGAGGGTAGGCAAGGAGGGGCCTACCAAGGATGCTACAGTGGCAGCATGGACCATGACGGGAATGGGAGGCGAGAGCGAGGAGGAGTGGAGAATGGCTGTGGGATCGGAGAATGAGGATGCATGCACGGGCGGGGATGCAGTGTTGGTAGCAGAGGGAGGCGGTGCGGCAGGGGTGAGAGGAGGGGAAGGAGCGTGGAAGCGTGGAACGTGCATGCCGAGAGCGTCTATGGCTGGAGTGTGCACGCCTGGAGCGTGCATGGCCGGAGGAGGGATAGTGTCAAAGCCTTTCAGGTGCGCGTGCGGGCCTTGAGAGGCCTGAAAGGCATGAGAGGTCTGTGAGGTCTGAGAGACCTGAGTGGGATGAGAGGCCTGAGTGGCTTGAGAGGTTTGAAAGGACGTCAAGGGAATTTTCTCACTGGATGGCAATCTGTGCACCACACCTGTCAGGTCAGCCACAGCAGCAGACACACCACCCTGCGAGGATGATTTTTTTATACTCTCAAAAACACCTGTCGGATTAGCCGCAGCAGCAGATGCACCAGCCTGTGAGGCTGGCCAATCAGCAACAGCAACAGACGGGGCCGGGCTGGGCCAGGGGACTACAGTGGTGGTGCCGAGGAGAAAAGCTGGGGCACCCTTGAATTGCTTCCCATCAACAGCATTTCCATCAGCAGGATAGCCACCAGCAGCATTGCCATCACCAGCAACAGGAGCAGACGGGGCAGGGGCAGGCCAGCCGACTACAGTGGTGGTCCCGATGAGAGAAGCTGGGACACCCGTGACATGCTTCCCATCAACAGCATGATTATCACCAGCATTGCCACCAGCAGCATTGCCACCAGCAGCAGCAGCAGCAGCAGCAGCAGCGCTGGCGTAGGCTGCTGGAGCAGCAGCAGCAGCTGAGGCGGATCGTGGCCACGAGAGGGACCCGAACCCGACCGGCCGATTCAGCCCGAGAGACAGGTCGTGCTGCAGAGGAACGGTGAGGCTCCGGGTGACTGTCGCCGCGTTTTGAGGCGCCTCAAAAGTTACTGTCGCCGCGCCTGGTTTCAACAAAAAGGCCTCGTTAGATTCGCCTCCAAATTGGTGGCTGGACAGATCCATCGGAGCACTGCTAATGGCATCGTCCGCGTTACCAGCATCAACATCAACAGTATCAGCAGCACCACTGGCACCACCGGCATCGCCTCTACCTCTGCCACCACCGCCACTGCCACCGCCACCACCACCACCACCACCAACACCACCGCCACCACCACCGCCAGCACCAACGCCACCATAGCCACTGCCGATCTGGGATCCAGAACCAATTGGATATACCGGACCGTCTCGAGGCTCTGGTCCTAGAGTAACATCCATGGGAGCCCAATTTCCGGAAACTTCTGAGGGCGATGTGTTGAATGACTGGCCCAGACCTTCCATCCCTGCACGCCCATGCGCCACAGCGTGCGATGCAGGGCTGGGTAAGGGTGCACTCTCGTCCCATACATGCTGCGGTTGAAGCTGTTTCGGAGACCTTGTGCTGCTGGTGATGTGAGTGGGAGGTTGTTGCTGACGCGGCTGCAGATTCTGCTGACGCAGCTGCAGCTGAGGCTGTTGCTGGGATGTTGCGAGCCGGGCGCGGAGGTTGCGGGCGATGGCCGCAGCAAGCATCTTGTTGCACGAGTCTTCAAACTCCCGCGATGCAGCTGAACCATCTCTCCTTGCCTTGCCACGCCCCCGGGGAGTGGTAGCAGCAGCGGCAGTACCATCGGCAGCCAGCATGTTGTTGCACGAGTCCTCAATCTCCCGCGATGCTGCCGTTGATACTGCTGCTGCTGCAGAACCATCTCGCCGTGCTTTCCCGCGGCCCCGGGGAGTGGTAGCAACAGCAGCGCCAGTACCATCAGCAGAGGCAAGCATCTTGTTGCATGAGCCTTCAAACTCCCGGGAAGCTGCCGAGCCATCTCTCCTTGCTTTCCCGCGCCCCCGGGGTGTGGTAGCGACAGCGGCAGCGGTACCATCAGCAGAGGCAAGCATGATCTTATTGCACGAGTCTTCAAACTCCCGCGATGCTGCTGCTGCTGAACCATCCCTCCTTGCTTTACCGCGGCCCCGGAGAGTGGTAGCAGAAACGGCGGCAGTACCAGCTGCTGCAGCTGTAGCAGCAGCACCTCCGCTCCCTCCGCTCCCTCCGCCGCCTCCGCCGCCTCCGCCGCCGCCAGCGGCCGCGGCGGTGGCGAGCGGCTCGCGCTTCCTCCTGCTGCGCTCCCGGGGAGACCCATCTTCGATTAGGTTTTCTCCTTGGCGCTTGTACGCGGAATCCGGGGGAGAAAACGCCGTCCCCGCAGCCCCCGAGGAGGCAATTTTCGCGGCTCCAGATGGCGGCGGGCTGCGGAAGAACGGCGGCACTATGACTGCCGCCGCCCCCGCCGCTACCCCTGTTGCTGTCGCTCTCGCTGGGGTTGGACGCGGCGCGTCCGGATTCACAGAGTGGCTGTTCTTGATTGGGGAATGTGAAAGCACGTTGATCTTCGGACTCTGCTGACTCTGGAGCAGCGCTGTCGGCATAGCTTCGCCGAATTCGTCGCCTGTGTCGTCAGTTCTCTCGCCCGCTGCGTCACCCACCTCGTCGGCCATATCGTCGCTCGCTCCTCCCGCCGAGTTGCCGCGCATTCCGCCGTCCATTCCGCAACCCGTTTCTTTCGCCGCAGTGCGGCCAGTGTCAACTTAGTTCAGTGTGTGATTGAAGCTTCAACTCACAGTCAAGTCTCGCCGTTTCACCGCCTTGCGAGCCGGATCCGCTTCTTTGAGAAGTCCGCTCGAGTTTTGCACGTCCTAATCGGGGATTGCCGCCGCGGCTCACCACTGATGCAAATTGTCACGTAACCTGTAAATCGAGCGACGGTTGCGGAGACCGTCTCCGGACAACGGTAGCAGTGACTGCTACAACGTTCTACCACACCACTCTACTAACGAGATCAGATGGTTGCGGATTACAATGAGTCGTTCCGCACGTCCTACTACTAGTAGTGCGAGTAGTAAGTCAGGATCTCTCGGCTCGAGATCAGATGTAGTACGAAGGGAGAGGACACGGCGCGGCGCACGTTCACGGCACAAATCGTGGTACTATTACCACTACAACAACTACGTGAACAGCGAGCAGCGACACATTCTGATTCTCGATGATCCGTCGGCTGTTTATCTACTATGCCATGCTCTTGTTTCAGGCCGAGTGAGTGATTTGCAGCTCTGGTCTGCCAGACCAAAAAGGTCGGGCTCTGGTCAGCGTCGCATCCCGGATTTCCGAAATCGTTCGCAGCACGGAGGTTGGTAGGATCCGAAAGCCCAGTCACACTACTACCGGCGGACCGGAACATGATAATGTACGTCGAATTGCGGAACAACAATTGTAGTCACTAGAATTGCGGAGCATACAGCTGATCTGAATGAACTGTTAATCCCTAGTACTAGTGCGGCGGAACCTGGGTTGCCTCCACAAAAGGTTGCGATTGCGAGGCTGTCACTCTTGTACGTATTCGTGTAAATATTCGGCGGAAAACTGTGTGTGCCCCTTGTACTGTGTGTGAAGTACTGTACTCTGTCTTGCACCCTACTACACCACTCTGTGTTGTGTTCCTTCCAAGGAGTCCTCGCCTCGACTCCTTACCTCAGTGGCTATTGATACCTCGCCCTCGCAAAGGAAGATTTTTCAAAAATTGAAGTCATTCGCGTGCCTCCGGTGCGTGCGGAGGTGCTCCTCCGCGTGCGTGTGTGTGCAGTGGAGTGGATAAGGGCGAGCCTTGACCCTTCCATTGGTCAATTTGAACCAAGAAGCTCGTGATTGTGCATCACCTGCTGACTGCCTTCCCATCCCATTTGCATGTGGATAGTGTTCAGGTCACGGGTGAGGTGATTCCTTCCCATTGAAGGTTCATTGGTGAATGTCGCGACGCGAACGAGAGCATCTTTTTGGGCCATGCTGTGAACTTCAACCACAGCACCGGCGAACTGTTGACGAGATTTTGTACCTTCTGCGTTTCTGACTCTCAAAGGAGCCAGTTGTGGGAGTGGTGTGGTGCACGGGCATTGCTTTGCAGCACCGTCCACTAAACTCGGCCCGTTGTCCGAGATCTGGGAGGTGGAACACACATTGGTGGTGACATGGACCCAGACGTACGTGCATTTGATGAGCAGGTTGGTGGTTGTGCAAGCCAAAATTTATGTGCACCACCCAGAGCAGCAGCACTGAGGGGGGAGGGGGGTGGGGAGGAGCGGCTCGTTGGCATTGAAAGCAGGTCATGACGGATTGGGGGGAAGTCCGAAGCGCGCATTTTGGGTTGAATCTCAATAATGAACGCACGCAGTGCTACCACAGGCTTCTTCAAATTTTCTTGTTGCCCGTTACGGTAGGCTGCTGCTTGGTAGCAAAATGCACGGGTGTGTGAAACATGTGCACTGCTTTTTCCTGGACAGTTGTGTTGGTCGATTTGGAATCACGTAGAAACTGGCAACATTTTGCACATGCGATGAGTCACTTCGTCTTTGTACATGCACTGCATAAACGGCAATATCCGTGCACTTCCAATACAGCACAGCGGCGGCTAGTCGAGCAAGGAACCACGACGAAATTCACAAACGACTCCTCTGTTTCTCATGCTGGCATCACCAAGTAAAGCCTCCACATCAGCGGGACCAATCTCGATCGACGACTCGTCAAGATCGCTCGATTATTGTCCAATCGCGACGTGTGCATGTGAAGAACTGCCTCTGTGGAGGTAAAAGTGGCAAATTACCAAGAGAGGACGTGCTTGCCGTTTTGTGTTGCGTCATGTACGTTCCGAATATACCGGCACGTATGCCGCTGGTATTTAAAGACAAGGGTACATGCTCTCGCACTTGCAGTTATATGTAAAAAAGAGAGCTTTAAATTAATGTTAGTGAGGATGAGAGAACAATTTTTTTCAGCAACAGCTTGGGTTTTTCGGAATACTTGGTGGGGTCCTTGACAGCCGCGGTAGGGTTAGCTTTGCAGAAGGCACAGGGTCGGGTGATTCTTTTGTGGGCGGCATACACGTTGGGTCAGTCAGAGGTGGAGTGGGTAGAGCGAGGGGGTGGGGAGCAGGAATTTGGAGAGGGAGCACCATGGGTGGATGTGCCCTACTTGGCCGACATGCGGCTGTAGATGTCTTAAGAAGCAAAACTTTGTTTCGGGTTTTGGCGATGGTCTTTTGATGTTTGAGAGAGATAACAGAAAAAAAAAATGAGGAAACAAAAATGACACGTCCAATGAACAGGGACTCTGAGTTTGGGTGCCGAAAGGGAGGATTTTGTTTAAGGGATATTATATTCGTTAAAATATACATTGATTACGATGATGGTGTTGAGACTTGTATAAATAGCGAATGTGGGAGCTGACTTCTATCGAATCCCATCCAGTAATGACGTGGCGTAGCATAATCCACAATCTCCTCGTACCGATCACACTACCACCTGCACTTGCCAAGTGTTACCTAAGGACGCGGTAAAAGTGCTCGATCGGGGGGAAATTGATCCGGTCACCGCACTGACACCTCGCGTTTTGTATACAAAAGTTACACAACCGTTTATAACCGTGTTGAAAAACGAACCTGAGGCGATCGATTCTCCACTTTTACCGCGTCCTAAAGTCCAGTCTGGCAATCCCAAGCCAATGATTGGCGGACCAACCATCATCAGCCCCTGTGCACTGTCAATCACTGCCAATCTTTGGAGCTCGAAGAGCACCAGGCGTCTATTTTCCGAGCGACCGACAGCCCGCCTTACTCTGCGGAAGTGACACGACGAAGTCATAGTTGACTTGCCTGCGTTGCCACTCGCGGATGCTTGTTACATCGCTTTCCATATATCCCGCATTCGATTCCGTATCACCAGCCAGGAAAGAGGCATTTAGATTCTTCAGACGACGCGAACACCGTCAAAGTAATTATCCTCCTCTATTAGTTACAATGGTGTCGTGTCTCCGCGCGCCCATTGTTCGCCCAATGCTCCTCCGCTCCCCCTCCCTCTCCGCCTCCACTTCCGCCGTTGCCGGAGGCTTCCTCCAATCACTGAGTGCCACGTCACCGTCGATATTACTCCCCCCAGCGTGGCGGAACCGGTTCGCTTCCGCCGGGTCGTCCGCCAATCCAGCCTCCCCCGCCATCCGCTGCGAATCCGCGGATCCGACGGTGGAAACGCGGACCGCGGAAGGACTCGCGGGAAGCGCAGCGGAGCCGGAAGCTTCCCCGAAGAAGGGCAAGGCGGGGAAGAAAGGGGGAGGCGGCGGGGGAGGTCAGGGGAAAGGCGGCGGAAAAGCTGGCGGGAAAAGCGGCGCGGCATCCGCGGAAGCGTCGAAGATCGCGTCACGGTCGGAGAATTTCAGTCGGTGGTATCTGGACGTGATTCGGGAGGCTGAGCTGGCGGATTATGGGCCGGTGCGCGGCACGATGGTGATTCGCCCGTACGGTTACGCCATCTGGGAGGCGATTCAGGTAGGGTTGAGTGAGGCAGGCTTGGGTGGAATTCGGCGACGTGCGGCGGGGTAGGGTTCTAGAGCATCCACCTGGCTGGCGGGATGGTGTTTCCGAGTGTGCGCGGCACGATGGTGATCCGCCCGTTTTGCTACGCCATCTGGGAGGCGATTCAGGTGGGGCATGCTCTGGTTGAATTTTCTCTATGAGGTTGCACATGCATGCGGGTCATACATTGTGGGTGGTGGCTCCGCAGGTTCAAATTTTGAGAATCCTTCTCAATCATCGCTCACAGGCCCATGCATGTGCGTCGTGGATGTGTGTGCGCGCATTCGTGTTTCGAGACGTCTCAAAACCTGATGTGTATGCATGCATGTGTGAATATGAATGCATCTATCTTCCAATGTTCCAAGATTTCGTTTCAAACCCTCTCTCCTGATCCACCCCAAGCCTCCCCACGCCTCAGAAACATGTCTCCCCTTAATCCGTCCTGCAAACCCCTCTTGTCCCCCTCCTGTCCCCTTAAACCCCGGGCTACCCCCCCCGAACCCTGCCAGTCGTGGCTTGACCGCAAGTTCAAGGAGACGGGGCATGAGAACATGTACTTTCCACAGGTGAGGGACTGAGAGGGGGAAACAGGTTGGAGGAGGGAGGAGAGGGAGACTTTGAGTGCATTGCGCGCCAAGTTCAAGGAGACGGGGCATGAGAACATGTACTAGGGTGAGGGAGGGAAGGGCGGTATAGGTTGGTAGAGGAAGGAGAGGGGGAACGGAGGAAGGGAAAGTTTGAATGCATTACGTGCGAGTTCAAAGAAACTGGGCACGAGAACATGCGCTTTCCACAATTGAGGGAGAAGGGGTGTTTTACCCAATTTACACCCAACACTAGAGCATGCAGGCGTGAATGTACGATGTAGCACATTTTACCTCCCACAGAAATTCATCCTCCCCCACTACCCCCTCCCCCCGTGGCCCCGATTTTGATTATTTATATAAACGTCATTGTGAGTTTTTTGCTGGTTATGAACCCCTTTCATATTAAATCGTTCCAATATTCCTAACGTTTACACCCCTCCTCTCCACACTCTCCCATTCTCCCCCTCCCCTCCTCTTGGTTCCCCCACACTCCCCCTTCAGTTCATCCCGTATTCGTTTATCGAGAAGGAGGCATCACACGTGGAGGGCTTTTCTCCTGAGC